TGGCGTTTGGCGTATAAATTTCATGCTTGAACTGCTACGAGGGCTTGTAGTCGTTAAAGCATGAAATTTATACGCCAAACGCCAACTTCAAACGCCAAATCTTAATTTACTGCTTTGGTGAATGGCATGACTAGTGGTTAATTTGCTTTCTTAAGTCATTGCTAAAGAGCACAAGTTTAATAAGTTTAACATATTTCAAAACTGGTGTAAAAGCTATAATAATAGAGTTGTAAAATCAAAAACTTCGCTAGCGGTTTGACGTTTGCCGTAAACGTCAATCTTAAGGTCTCTATTGTTTCAGCTCATTCTTGTTAGGTTTGATTTTTAATATACTACCTTCATTAGGTCATCTTAAAACATTTAGTGGCCATGAACTACCCCTTCACTTTTCCTTTACTCCTCGCAGTGCCATAACAAGACACGATAATTTTTTTTTTTTGGGGGGGGGGTTGCATGTTCATATATATGTGTTCTGCCAGACGAATAAGACTTCTTTTGAAATTGATTGCTTTTATGGTATGGTATGTTAACATATCAATATGCACCCCCCCCCCCCAATTATTGCATCTTGTTACAGCCCGGACTCCGCCTAATCACAATGCAAAACAATTTTGAAATTAAAAGGATGATGAATCATCTGGTTTTAAAATTATGTATTACAACGTTGAAAGTTATTTATTGCTATGTCTATTGTAAATACAAAAATCTTCTAGTTATGCCTAAAATACCAATTGTAAGAATTGTGTAAATAAGAGTAAAGTATCTATTATGTGAGAGATATAGAAATATATTTATCTTCATTTGAAGCAATTGAAGGTATTCCTTTCTTGTAACCAATAAGTGTGTTTTCATACAAGAAATTTTCATATTATGACTTTAAGAAGGACAAAATTGCAGGCTTGCATTGATCTGCAGTCAACTGCTCCAACAATAAATTACGGGACAAATCCCTAAGCTTTTTTCGATTTCCCTTGAATGCTGAAAGGTAAGAAATTACTTTTTTTAATAGGATGCTTTTGGTTTCATAAACTTAAAGTAGACATTATAGACTACAAACTTTTTCTATTGCAGCAAGACATCATAATTTGAAGAATATATATATTTCTTTTTGGGTGTGTTTATGAGAGTGTCTAAATTAACATGACCTAGGAAAACTTGTAAGAGGCCAGGTATAAAAAGTGGATGGAGAACCATTCTTTATAAATTAGATATTAAAGCATGGACTTGGGTTATTAACTTTTATTAGAGAGGAGCCGGAAACTCTGCAGCTACTGCCTACTTGTGAGTTGTAGAACCAATATTCATTTGAAAATTTTTTAAATTTATCAAAATATATAAAGTGAATCATTTCGGTGTTTCTGTTCCGATATGCTCTATTTTAAAATAAGTTCTTACTTTGTTCGCGTAAATATTTATTAAATTGCAATTATATGTAAAATAATTTGGACAAATTATTAAAAAAAAAACATTTATATGAGCCATACTGCCATATGATATGAGCTGTCATGAGAGCCTTCATACTCCCGAGCAAAACTCGCAACTAAATTGTGCCAAAAAAAAATAATTACGCTACCAGACTTGACAAATAAAAACTCGCTTACCTTTTCTTCAATATATTCATAAAACTACAGAAGCCCAGAGGCGACAGCATAAAATTACTTTTGTATTTTGTATTTTGTGTTTTATATTTTGTATTTTTGTGTTTTATATTTTGTATTTTTGTGTTTTATATTTTGTATTTTATATTTTGTATTTTATATTTTGTATTTCGTATTTCATATTTTGTATTTTATATTTTGTATTTTTATTTTGTATTTTATATTTTTGTGTAATTATAATGTTCTTAGACGTGGGATTATAGGCATTTAGTAATACAAATTGTGATATTTAACAACGTCAGAACATGATTACAAAAAAATAAATGCGTGTTTCATATTGAACGCTTGTTTAAATAGCATTACCGCGCGCGCATTACTAAGATACGCATACCGAATTCGCCATCATAGACATTAGCATTGCTCCCGTAATATTAAGGTTCGGTTCAGACGGCGACATTTTCAAGCGCTTCATTTCTTACGGCACAAGTTCGGCAACTGATTTAGAGTTTAGACGCCGCGCCGCTCTTCTAGATCTGCCGTACTTATAAATCGTTGTATTACGGGTTCGGCGCATGAGAAAGTTCGCCGTCTAAACCGAGTCTAAAGGTCCATACAGACCGGACGCGATTTGCAGCGCGACGCGAATTATCAATTTTCAATGACATTTCATTTTTCAATGACATCTATGTTTTTCAAATATTCGGAACCACTTGAGCAATTTTAGCTATTTGGTCTGCATATCTTGTAAAATTTTTATCCGTTGACGTATTTATTTTATTTTTAAAAACCGAAAATTCGTGTCGCGTGGTCGAATCGCGTTCGGTCTGTATGGACCTTAAGGCTGTCTGCATGGCGAATTCGTTATGCGTATCTCAGTTATTGATATGAGTAGTATTACCCCGTCTGTATAGCGGCGGAAGTAATTAGTATGCAGGAGCAAATAGAGCGGTGGAAGTAATTAGTATGCAGGAGCGAATAGAGCGCCGGAAGTAATTAGTATGCAGGAGCGGAATGTGTTGATAAAAACATGGGGGTATATTTGAATCAATCAGTAATACAGATTCATTTACACTTTGGTTTTCATAATGAACGGTTCAAACAAAAAGCTTCGTCTGATAGAAATAATATACGCCAAGGTCATTGCACATAGCATTAAAAGGAAATTTAACCTGTTTTGTTGCGGGTGTAAAATCCGTGACCCGGACTGCTTAATGTTGGATGAGTTTGAAAAATGGGAGATGTATGGTCTTGATGCTATAGAGGAAGCTGGAACTAATTACGCTGTCTGGCGTGAATTTAGTAATATTATTGAAATCCTGAATGTTCCGTTTGAAAAATATTTTACGGAACACTTGTTGAGCTTGGCAGAAAACCCTGATCTTATGCTGATCGAATCATTATTTCAAAAATACAAAGACAATCAATCATTAATCGAAGTCCTATGCGATTTGTCTAATCCTAAAGCAGATCCATTGGAACTTGTTGCATAGTGCCTCTTCAGTAGTCACCCTACCTTTATATATTATGTTAGAGGAAAGAAAGAAAGGTTCGAGAGCAAGGAACAAGATGAACAAAAGGCATATCAAAACTATCTCAAAGATAAACTTCGAGAACATTTTAATAATTTGTAAAATATACTTTTTGTTAATAAACAATTTTTAAAAAATATATTGTTTTTAAACTATGAACCGTTTAATGTTCTTCGCTCCAGTAGCTGAGGAACCCCAAAATGGCTTGATATTCAGGAAAGTTTGAGTTAAACTTCAAGCCTTGTAGGAATTCGGCGGTTGTTTCGCGGTCATTGGTTAGATTTTTGAAATGTTGATTGACATGTTCATGAGGTCTCATGACGCGTATAGCTTCGGTGAATTGTTTCGAAACTGTTTGTTGTTCGATCACTCGCTTTACTGCTTCCGATCCATGCATTATCCATCCCTCTTCTCCGCACATCATGAGGCAATCATGTCTTTTCTGACTTGGATGATTTA